AGCTTCAACTTTTAATTTGCTGGCAAAGTCTGAAGACACTGCAGGTATGGCAGGATGAATTGCATTTAAACAGGAATTAAAGTCATTTATTACATCTACTCAAATGTGCGTAATTAAGTATTTTATATATGTGTGTGTGTGTGTTTAATTGCTCTTTTAGCTACTTTTGCCTGAACCTAACGCTGTAAGTGAAACAAGGCATTTCTTGAGTTGCTGTAAATTATGCTATAAAACATATTTACTGTCTCATTCCAGAAAACAACAACAAACAACAACATCCTTCATGATGGACAGACATCATGGACACCACAGCAGCAGCTGTCTTCACTGAAACATCCTGAACATGATCGTCACTGACATGAGGCCTCTGTCGATGGTTGAAGATGAAGGCTTCACTACAATAATCCACACTTTTAATCCAGGTTACAATAATCCACACTTTTAATCCAGGTTACACTCTTCCCTCAAGGACACATTTTACAAAGTAGCTACATACTGTGCAGGTATAAAGATATATTTGTATATATTTTTGTGTACATTTATTTTTTTAAGCTATTTGACTTTTATTTTTTTTATTCAATATTTTACTAACACAATAGTCAAATAGCAACCTGTTTTTAGTGTGAATTGCTATGTCAGTCAAATGTTCAATTTTGGAATAAAGGGGTGGAAATTAAAACATTGTTTTTTTTTTTGCCGATTCATCGATTAATCGAAAAAATAATCGTCCGATGAATCGATTATTGAAATAATCGTTAGTTGCAGCCCTAGTCACAACCCAAAGCTCGTGACCATAGATGAGGGTAGGAATGTAGATCGATCGGTAAATTGAGAGCTTCGCCTTTTGACTCAGCTTTCTCTTCACCACGACAGATCCGTACAGTGCCTGCTTCACTGCAGACGCTGCACCTATCCGCCTATCGGTCTCACGCTCCAATTTTCCCTCATTTGTGAACAAGACCCCAAGATACTTGAACTCCTCCACTTGGGGTAGGACCTCCTCCCTGACCCGGAGAGGTCACTTTACCTTTTTCCGGCTCAAGACCATGGCCTCGGATTTGGAGGAACTGATCTTCATCTCGGCCGCGTCGCATTTGGCTGCGAACAGCTCCAGCAAAAGCTGTAGATCACGATCTCATGAAGCCAATAAGACCACATCATCTGCAAAAAGCAGAGACGCAATCCTAAGGCCACCAAAACGGATCCCCTCAACACCTTGGCTGCGCCTAGAAATTCTGTTCATAAAAGTTATGAACAGAATCGGTGACAAAGCGCAACTTTGGCGGAGTCCAACTCTCACCGGGAACAAGCCCGACTTACTGACGGCGATGCGGACCAGGCTCTGACACCGGTCATACAGGGACCTAACAGCCCGTATCAAAGGGCCCGGTACCCCATACTCCCAGAGTACCCCCCACAGGGTTCCCCAAGGGACACGGTTAAACGCCTTCTCCAAGTCCACAAAGCACATGTAGACCGGTTGGGCAAACTCCCACGCACCCTCCAGGACCCTGCTGAGAGTGTAGAGCTGGTCCAGTGTTCCACGGCCAGGACGAAAACCGCACTGCTCCTCCTGAATCCGAGGTTTGACTATCCGACGGACCCTCCTCTCCAGAACCCCCGAATAGACCTTACCAGGGAGGCTTAACAGCGTGATTCCCCTGTAGTTGGAACACACTCTACAGTCCCCCTTTTTGAATAGGGGGACCACCACCCCGGTCTGCCAATCAAGGGGAACTTCCCCCGATGTCCACGCAATATTGCAGAGTCGCGTAAGCCAACACCACCCTACAACATCCAGAGCCTTAAGGAACTCCGGGCGAATCTCATCCACCCCTGGGGCCCTGCCACCGAGGAGCTTTTTAACCACCTCGGTGACCTCAGCACCAGAGATTGGAGGGCCTGACCCAGAGTCCCCAGGCTCCGCTTCCTCAGTGGAAGACGTGCCGGTGGGATTGAGGAGGTCTTAAAAGTATTCTGCCCACCGACCCACAACATCCCGAGTTGAGGTCAGCAGTACACCACTCCCACTATAAACAGTGTTGGCGGCGTACCGCTCCCCCCCCCCCCCCCCCCGAGATGCCAGATGGTGGACCAGAATCACCTAGAAGCCGTGCGGAAGTCATTCTCCATGGCCTCTACGAACTCCTCCCATGCCCGAGTTTTTGCCTCAGCGACCACCCGAGCCGCATGTCGCTTGGACTGCCAGTACCCATCAGCTGCTTCCGGGGTCCCACAGGCCAAAAAGGCCCAATAGGACTCCTTCTTCAGCCTGACAGCATCCCTCACCGACGGTGTCCACCATCGGGTTCGAGGGTTGCCGCCGCGACAGGTACCGACAACCTTGCGGCCGCAGCTCCGGTAAGCCGCCTCGACAATAGAGGCACGAAACATGGTCCACTCAGACTCAATGTCCCCCACCTCCCTCGGAATATGTTCGAAGTTCTCACGGAAGTGGAAGTTAAAACTCTGTCTCACAGGAGACTCTACCAGACGTTCCCAGCAAACCCTCACAATACGTTTGGGTCTGTCAGGTCTGACTGGCATCCTCCCCCACCATCGGAGCCAACTCACCACCAGGTAGTGATCAGTGGACAGCTCTGCCCCACTCTTCACCCGAGTGTCCAAGACATGTGGCCGCAGATCAGATGAGACGATGACATAGTCGATCATCAAACTGCGGCCTAGGGTGTCCTGGTGCCAAGAGCACATATGGACACCCTTATGCTTGAACAAGGTGTTTGTTATTGACAATCCATGATGAGCAGAGAAGTCCAACAACAGAACACCACTCAGGTTCAGATCGGGAAGGCGTTCCTCCCAACCACACCCCTCGAGGTCTCACTGTTGTTGAACTACATGAGCATTGAAGTCCCCCAGCAGAACAAGGGAGTCCCCAGGTTGTGCACTTTCCAGTACCCCCTCCAAGGACTCCAAAAAGGTTGGATAATCTGAACTGCCATTTGGTCCATAAGCACAAACGACAGTCAGAACCCATCCCCCCACGCGTAGGCGGAGGGAGGCCACCCTATCATTCACCGGGGTGAACCCCAACACACAGGCACCAAGATGGGGGGCAATAAGTATGCCCACTCCTGCTCGGCGCCTCTCACCAGGGGCAACTCCAGAGTGGAAGAGTGTCCAGCCCATCTCAAGGAAACTGGTTCCAGAGCCAGAACCATGCATAGAGGTGAGTCCGACTATTTCTAGCCGGAACCTCTCAGCCTCACACACTAGCTCAGGCTCCTTCCCCACCAGTGAGGTGACATTCCATGTCCCACTAGCAAGCTTCTGTAGCCGAGGATCAGACCGCCAGGGTCCCCGCCCTCGGCCACCACCCATCCCACATTGCACCCAACCCCTTTGGCCCCTCCCACAGGTGGTGAACCCATGGGAAGGGGGACCCACGTCTCCTCTTCGGGCTGTGCCCGGCCAAGCTCCATGGGCAAAAGCCCGGCCACCAGGCGCTCGCCCGCGTGCCCCACCTCCAGGCCTGGCTCCAGAGTGGGGCCCCGGTGACCCACGTCCGGGCAAGAGAACATTAAGTCCATTTGATTTTCTCATCATCGGGGTCATTAAGCTGCACTTTGTCTGTATAGTATACTTTCATACAAAGCTATTTGTTATTCATATGTTTGTTATGCATAATCTTCATCAGATATATCACATACTATTATTTTTGTAATAAAATACATAATATTAACTAAATTTGTGATTATTTTGGCATATCTGTGTGTATTAACTGATTTGATGCCCTTTAAACACGAAAAACAATTCACGTTTCAGTTTACATTTAATGTGGGGTTAGAGACTGATTTTTCCTCTGAAAAGAGGTGGTGCCCACACACAACAAGGTTATTTGCATAATAAATGCATATCTTATGAGCTTAACTCATAACTGATAATTTACAATATATATCCAACCCCATATCCCTCTACAGTTCTCAGCTTGGAAAATATCTGGAGAGTTTTCTGATTTTAAAGGTATCAAAGCATGAACCAGAACCAGAATCAGAATAAGCTTTATTATCATTGCACCGAGATACAACGAGAATATGTACATATGAACATCCCAAAGATGGGCTGAGTGCATGGAGCTGCTGCTACAAAGCGTGGCCTTCTTATTCTTTTCAGAATACATATTTTAGATAGAAAAAGGGACAAAGCCATTAGGAGAGTATAGTGGTATTACAAAAAGATCTCTTCACAACTTGTCATAACAGGACATGATTTAAGACATAAAAAAAAACTCTGCCAGCCAAGAACATTTATTAACACATTACATATGCATTTACGATGAGGCGGTCCATGAAGCACTAACAGAAAGTCCATTGTCCTGATAAGATGATGGTCAGCCGGCAAGTTCAGATAAGCCTTCACGGGGTGGGTTGCGATAGGCTAAGCTTTTCCTTAGTTTACACATTTCCCAGGAGAAATTGATCAGTGAAGCTGAACACCTGCAGCTCTACTAATTGTAGAGACTCAGTTTGATCTGAAGTAAAGTCAACTCCGAATTTTTAGAAGAATCTTGTCTTTTGATACACATCACATACCACCTGTTTGCCTTTGTCCTGCTCTCAGCAGAACCTCCCAGCAGCATGAAAGACGTCAAATAGCAGCCTGAAAGTGAGTTATACGCGGCTTTGTTGCATCTGGCCTGTTAAAGCCTGGTTAACTGGGGGGTTGGGTTGGGGATAATTTAATCTGTATTTGGCCATGGGTGAAACACAATCAGTTTGTGTGTGAGAGCATGCAGGTTACTGAGTGTATGTTAACTTAAAGTGTAAACTTTTAAGACCCTTCTAAATTCATTTTAGCATCTTAAAACTCAGAATCAGTAAAACAAACAGCATCAAACTAAAGTTAAATGTGAATTTGATTTGTGGCTGCAGGAGGCTCAACATAATGTGCAGTTAGAAAACAAAAAGAGTGAATAGATGTTGTGTGTGTCATCTGGAAACCCTTGAAGGAAAATAATCCACTGAAACATGGCTCCTTACCAGCTCGATAAACAAAGTTGGCCTCAGCTTCAGAGGAAGACGGCGACAGGAGCTCGTCATCGTACTCGTTGGAGCTGAAGGAGCCAGAGTGGTTCCTCCTGCGAGCGTCCATCACAGCGTTGGTCACCATGACGTGCCGCAGTGAGTCGTTCAGGTAGCGATGCAGCAGGCTGCTCTTGTACTTGGGCGGAGACACGTAGTCCTCTGAGAACGAGGTGGTTTCGGCAGCAGAACGCAGCCCTGGGCTCATACCTATGGTCATGCTCACCATAGAGGAGCCCTCCTTCTTGATGACGCTCTGGTACATGGGTTTGTTGAGCCCCTCAGGGCCACCTTGTGTCCTCTGAGGATTGTCTCCATCTGTAACAACAACAAGGTATGAACCATTAAAATTAATACCTCATATGGATTGCAGAAAAATTAAATGTACTTGCTATCAGGAACACAATATTTAACAGACTGAAAACATTAAGGCTTGCAACAGGCTAAACAGTGCAGGAAGTCAAACAAATCTTAAAACATTGCTTGAATATATATAGCACCACACCTCTGCAGGCTGTAGAGGTGATCGGTTTTTGTGATGGGCACTGAAAGGCAGGTATTGACCGATCACATACTTTTTAACGGAAATCGGCCGATCATGATCAGTGGCTGTTCGATCTGAACATTTCTAGTAAAAATCCATCCAGCTGCACAACATCCGATACCAGAGGAAACAATAATAATAAAAAAGTGATTTACATCATAAAAAAGAGTAATTAAAGTTTTCAAAAGCAATATCTCAGAATGCGTACATATTCTTGTCAAACATGCAGCCACCTTGAGCAAATAAAACAACATTTAGTGGGTGCATTCAAATCAGACAGTCATAAATGTGGAGAGAACGAACAGCATTACAATGTTTACAAGAAACAAAAAGATCCTGAGGGTATGGTTAAACTTTCTCAGCTGAAACAGGAATCACATCCTATGTTACGCCTTTTGGGTGATGCTGTTATTACAGAGGGATTGTATCTGGTCATTGGAGTCTGCAGATTCAAGAAACCTGATTCATTTTTCCCCTAGAGAGAGACAGTTGAACAATGGGACAATGAGATGGATTCATCTCGTTACAAGCTTTGACTAGAAACTTGATAGACTATGGGGGAATTTTACCAACATTATTCGAGAGCATATATTTTGTGTTTGAAAGCAGGAATTCATCTATTTGTTCTCAAAACTTCGTCTCTCTCTCTCTCTCAAAACTTATGCTCTCTCTCAAATATTCTCTGTTCTCTTTCAAAACTTTATCTTTTCCTGCTTGTGCTCAAAACTAGTCTCTGCTTGGATCAAATCTCCGCTCGCAAACCTGTCTGTTCGCGCTCTCTCGGAACAAAAAGTACTGTTGCCTAGCAACTATCCCAGCCAATAGGATGAAAGTGTGAACTGGGCTGTAGCAGACTCCTCTAGGGTGCGTTTGTTTCAGTCTACTGGGTGTGCCTGTGTATACTTCAATTGTAGCATCCATAGACATACAGTATTAGGGGTGAGGAAAAAATTGATTTATTAAAGAATCTAGATTCTAGTCCTGGCGATTCTAAATCGATTCTAAAAGCCCATAAACCGATTTTAAAATGTGTTTAAGATTTATTTTCAACTGACCCAGATAGCGAAAGATGTTAATTCAATGTTGAATTATTGTCAGAAAGGTTGATTTTTGGTTAAGGTTGACAATTAGGGCGGCTGTGGCTGAATGGTTAGAGCAGTCGTCCTCCAATGCGAGAGTTGGAGGTTGGAATCCACCAGCAGTCACATGTCGAAGTGTCCCTGGGCAAGACACTGAACCCCTCATAGCCTCTGATGTGTGTCCCATCAGTGTATGAATGTGACCTAAAAAGCACTGATTAGTCTCATTAGAATGATTTGTTCAATTAGCTTTGTAGAGATCTAGTACAGAGCTGTATGAATGGGTAAATGAGGACACAGATTGTAGTGTAAAGCGCTTTGAGTATCTTGAAATAAGATAGAAAGGTGCTATAAAAGTACAGTCCATTTACAATTGATGATTTATCAACCTTTAATCAATCATTCATCCATCCATCCAATATCTTTTACCCGCTTCTTCCATTTTGGGTCACAGGGGTCGCCGGTGTCCATGTCCGGCAATCACTGTGCGAGGTGCGGGGTACACCCTGGACAGATCGCAAGTCCATCAAAGGGACACAGGGAACGCTGAGAGGAGAGGACGCTGGCGCTTTATGTTCGCCGCTTCTCCGCGCTAAAAAGTCATTATACTGTTGCTATATTCGTGGACAATTATCCGGACTTATTTTTTTTACAGTAATTTGTCAAACAGTACTTATACAGACAGCTTATTAGCACTCCCTAACCAGAATTTGGGACTATTGCTGTCAACCTACAACTCCAGCATGGCGGCTCGGACTTTGCTTGAAGAACTAGCAACCATTATTGTTGCGCTTACCTTGCTGCCTCTGTCAACCTCCTGTGTCGTCTGGATTGTTCCAGTTGTTGTCATCTTTTGTTGGATTTTTTTAATTTATTTATTTATTTTCCTGTGCTACGCTGTGGATTACATCACACTGCTTTTTGGATATTTTTTCAGAGCCATGGGTCTGCTGTTAGCGGCTATCTCTGTGCTAGCTTACCCTGGCTTGGCTGGCTCGTAGATGTTGACCTACTCCGCCTCCCAGCTGATTGGACTTAACAAGTGCTCCATCCCACCTTCTGTTTCTATCATTAAAAAACTGGGCCTTCTGCATAGACCTCATTATGTCCATAGAGGCTCTCGGAAGAGAACTGTTTACTCTCGGCAAGCTGGGTCTGATTCCATCCCTTCCATCTGGTCTACCGGTCCTGCCGCACATCGATTACGTCATCAGAACGAACGCTGTCTCTGTAGTCCCTGATAATGCTGAAAGAACACAGCGCACGAAGTGGCAAGGAAAACGTGGAGTGGACTTCAGGCTACTTAAACCTCTTTTAAAAGCTTCTACTCCAACCAGTATTAAAATAGAACTTTTCAATGCTCAATCACTGTCCAATAAATCATGTCTTATTCATGATCATATTCTGGAGAAGAATTTGAACCTCATGTGCCTTACTGAAACATGGCATCAACCAGATGTGTACGGTTCTCTGAATGAAGGCTGTCCCTCTGGATACAGTTACCTGCAGAAAGCCCGATGCACTGGCCGTGGTGGTGGTCTGGCTGTAATTTACCGCAGTAATTTAAAATTATCACATTTAGCTTCTCAAGACTTTTCGTCTTTTGAATGTTTGGCCTTCAACCTCAAAGCCCCCCTCCTGATGAATATATTGATTTATCGGCCTCCCAAACCACGTTTCATTTAACTCAGAGATGCATGACCTTCTCACTTTTTTCTGTGCATCTCCTGTGAAAAATATTATTCTTGGAGATTTAAATATCCACATTGATAATTCATCTTCCCCTCTGGCAGCAGAGTTTAAGTCTCTTTTGGACTCTCTCAATCTCACTCAATATGTTGACGCCCCTACGCACAAAAGGGGGCACACTCTGGATTTGGTGATTACAGACACCATACCTATCAATTACTTATCTGTATATGACCTGGGTGCCTCAGACCACAGTGTCATCTCCCTGGAAGTGCCTTCATCTTCGTCTGCTCCAAATCCTAAACGACTTATCCAGTTTTGTGACTTTAAAAACATTTCCACTGAGGTTCTGTCCTCTGTTCTCCACTCCCTGTCTGCTGTCAATCACTCATCTGCAAATGACTCTGTGGATTACTACAACCAATCTCTCCAGGAGCTTCTGGACCTCCATGCTCCATTTAAAGCAAGGTTGGTGTCTTTCTCCTGTTCGGCCCCTTGGTACACTGCTGAGCTGCGCAAAATGAAAGCATCTGGCTGTGCTATTGAGAGACGTGTAAAATCATCTGGTCTCTCTGTACATCAGCAGGCATATAAAGAACATAAGAAAGCCATGCCTTTTCTCTTAAAGAAGCACGGTCCAAATATTATTCTAACATCCTGATGCATGCTCAATAATCCAGGTAGAAAAATCCAAAAAAGTTCAATCTGGTCCTCTGGACATTCAAAAAAACAAAAGCAAAACAAAGCAAAAGCAAAAAAAAAAAAAAAAAATCTAGAAACGTTTCGTCTCTCATCCAAGAGACTTCCTCAGTCTGAGGTGCTGTTTTCAGCTCAGTCTCTTAAATAGCACCTTCTTAGAGTGGATCAACCAGGTTGCTGCTGACAACCAAAACCAGCTGATCACATGCTCAAGAAGGACCATCAGCCTAACAATGGGTCATTA